AAAAAAAAAAAAAAAAAAAAAGTAAGAACTGGCAAAGGTCTGACATAGCCTGCCCTCTCTTGGCTGTACACGGGTCTGAAAACTAGCCAGAACTGCTCATTATTCTTGTCCCAAGGCAAAAGTGAGGTCTTCTGAGGCTTAGGGCTGGATAAACCCCAGCTCGGATGCTGCTACCCACTCTTCTGCCTTACCCCATCCTTCAATTTTGATACTAGGCCTCTTGCCATTGTGACATCCCTTTGACATAGTCTGATGCACGATAAAATGATTATTTCTTTACCTGGCAATTATGACAGAGCCCGTTTTTTTATAAACAGATTAGGAAGAGAGACTCGGGGAAGGACACAGAAAAAGCAAGTAAATAGCAAATGTTATAGATACCGAAGTCCCCTTTGTCTTTGCTCTTCTGAAGAACAGGTTGGAGGTCCAGTGCTATCTCAAAGTCCATTAACTAACACATAGTGGCTCTGTCTGCATTTCACTGAACCATGGCCAGCTACTTAAACCTTGGCCTGAATAAGCTGATCAGAACTTTAATGAATATTGATGTGAAGAGGAGGATTAGCTCCTCACTGGGACAAAGGAAACCAACACCTATGGCTACAAGTAAACTCCAGGATTAGAACTAGTCAAGGATGCAGAGCTGGAACTGAGAACTTCGTAACTCAAGTAAAAAGCCTCAGCGCCCAAGGGATCCCTGCTGATGAGAAGACCTAGTGGCTGCTCAGGATTCCCCATTCATCCTCACCAAGGGAGCCCAGGGCCTGTCCTTTACTTGCTTCAGCGCAGGTGAGGGGAGTAAGGCTGTAGGCTTGGCTTTCCAAAAGCTTAGCGAGGTAAAGGGCTGAAGGAAAGTACCCACTTGTGAAGAACTGGGTGGATGCTGTCTAAGGTAGGGATATATATATTTTAAAAAGGGGGCACTCCATACTCAAATAAAGGTACAAGGCAGGAAGAGGGACTGGGAATGGTGAGAATCCCAGAGAGTGAAACACAAAAGCCAAAATATCCAGGGCCAGCCATTTTCTAGAACTGTGAAAAAGTCCCAGGCTTTGAAACCAAACAAGCTGGGTTTGGATCCCACTGCCAGTTCTTCACTATATGGAACCTCAGATAATTCACTGTCCTCTCTGGAATTCATTTCTTCATCTGTAATGTTCCCCTTCCCCCATAATAGAATCTACTTCTTGGAGATATTAAATAAGGTAATATATATATATCAACAATTGGCAACTGATTATAAATATTATTATTATTCCCTTTCCAGAAACACAAGACACAGTTAAGATAGTTAGAAAATTAAGGAGTTGAAACAAGAGAAAGACAACATGCAACAGGTTAGGGACTGAGGCAGGCACCCTGAGCTTGACCCTACCCTGGAGATCAGAGATCTCTGAGGGTAGAGAGCTCCACATAGGGGCGCAGAGACTCCCAGAGGTTAGGATACCCAGGCAGCAGCTAGCAAGACTAGGACAAAGCTTCCCCGAGGCACCAGCTGGAGGGACTATGCTGAGGTTCCACTATGGGAAGAAGCAGGATGAGGTCAGGAAGTCAGGGTCAATGAGCATCCAGTCAGAGGTGGAGGCAGAAAAGCATGCCCTAGGGCTCCACCTGTGGAATGGAAAGCTTTTGCCCCACAAGCTGGGTCAGCTGGCAGAGAGGCTGTGTCCAGACCCCATTCTGAGCAGCTTCTGTTCTCCAAACTCAGGGAGAGTTAGAAAAATAAAATGATAAGGACAGGGGATTTAGCTCAGTGGTTCTGCTGCCTGCCTCACAAGCACAAGGACCCGAGTTCAATCACCGGTACTGAAAGATTTAAAAATTAAAAATAAAATAAATAAATAAATAAATGATAAAGTGGACTCCTTGCCCTCTGCTTCTGCCCTGACTACAAGCAGTCCTGTACTCCAGGAAGTACAGGGGGCACCAGAGGCAGGCTTAAGGTCAACAAGGGGCCAAGCAAGAACAAGAACAGAGGACAACAGGGAAGAAGGGAAGTGAAGGAACAGGGGAGAAGGGGGGTTGTCAGAAAGGCTGAAACTTGAGTGAAGAAAATGTAGAGGGGGCCGGGGATTTAGCTCAGTGGTTCTGCTGTCTGCCTTGCAAGCACAGGAACCCAAGTTCAATCCCCGGTACCAAAAAAAGAAGAAAATGTAGAGGGAAGGAGGACAGATAAGAATACAAGGAGAAAGCAAACGAAAAGTGCTGAGGGACCTAGGAGCTGAAGTTGAGGTGAGTCCAGCAGCTTCCTAGTAAGAGGAGAAAGTGCTGAGCTTCAGAAGACATCTGATGCAAAAAGGGTGGGAGGGTCACAAAGGAGGGGTGAGGAGTGTGCCCAGCCTGGCCCAGGTGATTCCCACCCTAACCCCACATTTCTTCCTGAGCCTCCAGTCCTGTTAAACCCCTGCCTGAACCTCAAGGGTTTAGGCCAAGCAAGCACTGACATGGGAGAGAAGGGGCCCTTCTGATCCAGACCCCCAAGGCTGGCACAGTGCCTGCTGGTGGGGAGGGGGCAGACTAGAGACCAGTCCTACTCAGCATCCCGGGCTGGCACTTCGGAGGCAATTAGCAGCCCAGCTGAGCTAATCCCCCGCCTGTCTAGGCCAACACAAACAAGCCCAAGCTGGGTGCACATTCACCTCCCTGTTTGCTGAAGGGCCCGGTGGTCCGCCAAGAACAACACTGGTAACCCAGGACCTTCTCTAGGTTAAGAATGGGACTGGGCTAGGTTAAGAGTAGGACCAGGGCTTGCTGAAAAGCTGACAGTACCCAACACAGTACACTCTGGACAGGCACCCT